GTTCAGCAGCGCAGCAGCAGTGCTGGGCCAAATCCAAGTCACAGCCTTCTGGCCCAGGAGGAAAAGTTGCTACCAACTGAAGCGTGTTGACAACATATGGAGGCCTGTGCTACTGGAGCAGTTTTATCCTCATCCAGAAAGAAAAAACCCGTAAGATTACGCCAAACACATGATTCAATTTACGTCAGAGCTCTTCTGTTCAAAGCACCCTGGCCACCAGTACTGCTTGGAACGGACAGGCTTGTTTCAGCGCTGACTGCTCATCTTTTCAAAGGTTTTTCACAGGGGAAAGGATTGTGGATTATTACTTTTTTTTTTTTTAATCTGAATTTACTAGACATTAGGGAGCAGTTTACCACTAAACATATTTATGCAGTCTGCATCATCTCTATTTTTATTCATTCCCATCCCAAAGTAACTTCCAAGCACATCTGAAGCACTAAAGCTGTGAGGCCTGCAAGCTCCCTCTTGAAAGCATGTAAGCACCAAACATTTTAATGGGCATGGAAGACACCTAACTAAACTGGTCACCCAGGACATGTCCACCCACTGGCAACCCAGCTCCTGCCTTTGGCCTCCCACCTTTCCACTAAGAGCTGGGATGCATCATGCTTATGTTCAAGCTAATCTCTATTGACGTGAATTGAAAACATCTTCCATGGAAGCAGGGTGAGTTGCAAGAGAATAGAGACAATGTAAAATCAGGTTCAGGATTCCTGTCTCCACATCGGTGTTTCTGTCTTGACACTGTACTACATGTGAGACTTACAAAAATAATAATAAATGCATATGGAGATTATTTTTTTTACAGCTAGCCAATGACTGGTTTAGCGTGGAAAAACATCTGACTGGGTAACAAGTCCTGCTGCAGCTCCGTACCAGTAGAGCCCACACTTCTTATCTAAAAGAAGTTATTCTGATTCAGTTAAGAATTCTGTTCTCGAACGGAATGGAAGCAATAAACTAAATGAGGATTAAATACTAGATCTTCTCATCCTTCTGCATTAAAAGACCAAAATAATCAAGACTTTTAAATGCCATGTCAAACTCTGCAGAGCAGAAAAACAAACTTCTTGCTTGTTTTGGCACAGCAAGCTCTTTACCGCTTCTACTTGTTGTAAGTTGGAAAACACATTGCCTACGCTGACCCAATAGATCATTTTCCTACCCAAAAAAGGACAGCTTCTTTTGTAAACTTACCAGCTAAGGATCATTTTGTGGGAAGTCCTGCTCTATCTAACTTTATTTAACTTTTTTAAACTCTTCTTCAACAGAAGAACAATTTTGATGCTGAGTAATTAAGTACATGTTTGGTTAAAAGAATAATATTTAAAGTTTTCTGGTGATATGTAAGGGTTTAAATACTTCAAGTATAAAGGACAGTACATGGAAATCAACCATTACATATGATTAGAATAGCAGGAGTAAAATCCAAACGATGCTTCCAGTATTAATCACTGTAGTTGACCCAACTTAATGTGGGAGACTCCAGCCTAGAGCCTGGAGTTAATGATCCCCTTGGAAATGATTCAAGGTTATTGGGAAGCACCAAGAAAGGGCTCTGAATTGTTCTGAATTGTTACTGCTCACTGCTGTGAAAAAGCATTTCGAAAGTACTGTCTGGGTCCAAGACAAAGAACATTCAGTAGTGGCTGCTGACCACGGGAGGCTGAAACAATCCACTTGAGTCAGTCAGTGCTTACTGAAGATCAAGAACTGCTACGTCTTTTCTACTTGGACATCTAAAGATTGAGACACCATAAGTAGTCACTAGTCATGATCCTAGCCACTGAGATACTAAATTTGCTTCCAAGCTTCAGTAGTTAGAGATGCTGTTGGGAATTAAGTGAGAAATTCCATCTTGATGTGAATAACTGTCTGAAATTACTGGACAGGTATGCAATCCCAGACACTAACAACTCCAAGCTTGGACTCTGTTATCATTTCTCAAGCTGTTACTGCTTATGTCCTAGCAGCATTTACCATGTGACACCTTCAGATAAGCAAAAAAAAGAAAGAAAAACCTGTTTGTGAACATCATGATTGAAATGTTGGCTCTTCTGGTCTTTATGCCACTAGAACTTTACCTTCTTGTAAACACAAGTGAGCCCCACAGCAGTTCCAGACACTGTAAACACTTGTGTTCTCCAGACCTGCACATCCACTGGACCCTGGTGGCTTTATGTTTTGTGGTGGAACCCTACAGTGTCCAACAAAGTGGCTGCTGTAGCTGCTGTAGTTACCAAGGCATTCACAATGCCCCTGTCACTTGGATTTCCTCATGAATGCACTAAAGAGGCACAACAAAGTCTCTTCCCTCTACCAAGGCATCTCTCTGATGAACTGCAGAAGACTCTCCTCCTCTGTGAAATTCAGCTGCAAGTGACCGGTATCATAAAACTAGGCCAAAAGCTAAATTACAAAGGCACTGCCAGCCATACCTGATTATACCAAGAGGGTCTAAATCTTCTTCCTCTTCTTCCTCCTCTTTCTTCTCCCCTTCTTTGGCATTTTCCACTGATGAAAACTGTGAGATTAAGTCAGGTGTCTTCTCTTCTCTGAAAAAATCCAATGCCTCATTTTCTTCATCTTCTTTCTCCTTGTCATCGGGAACGTTTTTACTCTTGAAGTCAACAACACTAGCAGATCTCGTTCCTGCAAAATACAGTAACGGATGCAAAGCTGAGTACAGAGGACTACAGCTATGTTGTATTTAATACCTTGCACCTGTTCCTGATGGTTTTGTTTGGGGAATGAAGGACATGGCCAGCTTTTGCAAACATCTTCCAACATTCCCGACTGTCTTTTCTATCTGCTATGTGTCATTATGTTTCTGATCTGTTTACTGACTTAAAGTAGATAAGTAGAGAAAGACAGAGGAAACTAACTTTACCTGAGATATAGCAGTGCATGTCTAATCTGCTTATTTATGTTCCTTCTATAGTCAACAGAAACAATAGAATTCCCACATGGTGAGGAGGAGCTTCCCACTGAAGTGCCTATTTCTCTCCACTGGCTACAGAGAGGCCATAAATATTCTGCTTAGATGTAGGTAACTTTCACATGGCTTGCTAAGATAAAGTCCACTTTTTGTTACTAATTTAACTAATTTGGGCTAAAATTAGAGCATTAGGCAGCATGAAAAAGTTTCCATGGCTTCAATTCACACTTAGAAATGAAGTCTGAAGTTCTAACTCTCTTCAGCATCCAACTGAGCAAAGTCAGCAAACTGAAACATGTGCTTTGACCAAGTCTTCTCACCACACTTGTTATATGCAAGGCTCAGGAGAACGAGGACAGAACTGCTCCTTGCTGTGGAGTCTCTGGATGTTCAGGAAAGCAATTTAAAATAATGAGACTAGCTAAAAACAGGCTAGTGAAAACCACAATGGCTAAAATTCACCGTTTCATCCTTTTGACCATTGAGGTAACACGGCATGGGAGACTCACCTCACCCAGCTTTTCACGCTTGCATCACCCAGGGCAGACTCCACTGACTAAAGGTGGGCGTCTTCACTGAGCAAGTGGTCTTATGCTCCCCTTATAGGCAAGAGACTGGTGGCTGGGGTAGGCAGGGAATGTTAGGATGCTGCTTATCTTATCCTCATGGTCATTTGTTTCTACCATGTTGATTCTCCCTAAACACCCCTAAATAGGTTGACTGTATCTCCAGCATCGGCACAAAAAGTGTACACAACGAGGCTAAGGAGCTGCAGTGTATGTTCTGAGTTCCACTCGGTTCGGTCCATTTCAAAGAATGGGTCACATTACTGGAACCCAGTCTCTCCACAGCATAAAGTCAGTCCAGACTAATTCAAGTGTAGGCACGGGCACCATGGTTCGGCTAATGAGCATGCAAAGATCAGTCAACATGAACTCTGAATTCTCTGTGCAAGGGGTCTGCTTTTAAGAGAAAACTCCCAGGGGAAAACACCAAAAACATTTCAAAACTTCATTAGCAAAAGGATTTTACCAAATATTATGTAGGTTTGCCCCCTTTGACTTAAAAAAGCTGCCAGTCTCACAGAACTTCTAATCTGGCCGTAGCTGACACTTTTGCAAAATCAGCAGTTCACACATGACTTGCTAGCACCTTGCAACTTCACCTCCTTAAAACTAATGTTACACTGAGAATTCTACACAGCACCAGGCTGGAGTATTCCCTGCTCAGCAGCTCTCAGCTGAATTAAGAGCAGAGAGTCCATCTGTTCCGTTCATTCACTCACTCCCTGCTATGCCCAGGGAACATATGAAAGGAACTATATGAATCACTGGGAGAGGTTACAGGAGCTGGACATAGGCTAAGGAAAGTTAAAAAAACACAAAAAACAAACCACAAAAAAAGAGGTCAGAGAATGGGTTTAATTAACAGGGAATCTTGGTTTTATTCAAATCATTCTCAAGGAATAATTTGCTTTAGGACCTTTTTCAGCAAGGCCCAGCAATTGTATTAGGAATAAAAAGTAGACAAAACGTGGAACAGCTGATCACTAAGGGTGACTCTGCACCGTCCCTTTAGGGTTCATCTCTCCACTGGCAATATATGATTATTAGGTTTCTAAACTTACGTGTTCTGAATCAAAGCTTACGTATATGCCTAAGGGAAGTCAGTGATGCTGGGACAGGTACCTTCAAAGCAAGCACTGTGCTATCAACACTTCTGAATGCGCATGAGAGGAATCCACTGAGAGGAAGGGAAAACGCTCCTAAACATGACTATGCAGCACTCTAGATGCACAAGAGGGTATTTCCAGTGACAGTCTTTATTCTGGCATTCTCTAGTTTTTGACTGCCTGAGTCACTTTTATCAAGCACACTCATGGAAGAGGAGACACATCTTTTAGTTACCTAAAAACTCCAGTAGCTCAGGACTCGTCGCTAGATCTTCATCTTTGGAGATGAACTTCATGATATCATTGAACATAGCTCTTCGTTCAAAGATGTCAGATTCCCCCACAAAGAGAACTTTTCTAGGCAAGAGTGGAAGAGAAGCCTGTGGATATCGTGCCACTAGTTTCTGGTAGAGCTCCTCTATCTCGCTGTACTTCTTGGAAACCTGCAACGAAACGTGTCACCTGGGTAAGTTTCTTTACAGGGGAGTGCTGAGCAGCAAAGCAGCAGTTCAAGTGCTGTGAAACATCAACCCCAGAAACCAAAGGGGAAAAACATATATTACCAAGGATCTACAGCTTAGTAAAAGCCTGTTACCTACACGTTGAATCCCCGAGCACTGTTGCTGGTCTTCTGTTAATGAAATTTGCTGCCTAATGGAGCTGAAGTTCATTGCCAGGTATCCACCATCCATTTGTGTGACTCATAATCTAATTAAATATTGGGATGGTCACTGCTACAGAGAGGCAAAAAGCCTTGACTGCTAAAAACGAGCTCTACGATGCCTGGCCCTCCTAGACAGGAAGGAAGAGAAGCCCAGCCAGGGAGGTATGTGATGGAGAGAGCAGCCTGACTCTTTTCACCATTGAGCCAGAAGACCTATTTCTCAAATCCTGGTGGGCTTCAGTGCCCTTCTGGCTCTCAAGCCTGAAAACCTGACACATTTGCTGCAGAGCACCTAATACAGAAACTGAAGGGCAAAGACTTCAAATGAATCCTGACTATTCAGTTCATCTCTGAGAAAATAACAACTTGGCCACGGCCTACATGTTCTCATACAGGGAGAAGATGCCAACAGTGAATAGTCAGTCCTTCTGCAGACAAAGACAGGAAGCCTGAGGAGAAATGAGGCCCAAGATATTACAAGGAAAGCAATAACCATTGGAAAGCTGGTTAGAAGTGGTGTGGCCTCTATGCCATGTTAAGTTTTGAATTCAGTATCTTAAAAAAATCAACACACAAAGGCCCCAAACGAACCAAAAAAATATCTCTAAGTGATGTTACACGTCCAATGGAGAGTGACTGTCCTGCTCTGCAGCTGTGGTGTTATCCAGAAAATACATTCATCATGGCCCTCTATGGTTCCATAATCTATGAATGTGTTTCAATGAATACAGAGTTAGACTGAAAAAAAGCCCAATCCAAACAACTAGTGCCAGTGAGGTGTGTGTAGCACAGGTCATCTGCTAGGGTCCAGCTCTGATCCTCCTGTAACATACATTAGTGAACTCCAGTGAAGCGAATCCTAGTGAATACAAAAACATAAAAAGACGCAGAGACTCAAGCACCACATCTTGGGATGGAAGATGGCAGAGCTCTTCCACCAACACAGTGACAAAAGAAAGTCAACCCCAGAAAAATCATGCAAGTAGAAGGGAAACAAGTTACAGATTAACCCCAAATCCATCAACTGCATCTATACCAACAAACTAAACAGTATCAGGCATATGCAGGCACTGGAACCTTAAAGTGTCTATTAGGAACCTTATAGTGTCTACTGGAACCTGAGGATGTCTGGCACAGTTCTGACTCTGAGCAGCCAGCACTCCCCCAGGTAATTTTTCAGCCCAAGATTTAGCCTGGTGCCGAGACCACGCTGTACCCCGTTTGGGCACCGATGCCAATTGCAGCTACTAAGAAAGTCTCAGGCTGCCAGCCTGTGCTAACTGCCCTCTAGGCCAGGGAACATGTCCTGACCTTAACAGCCACACCTCGACTAGTTCACTAAATCAGACGTAGGCATGAAGAGCAATAACCACCTCAGCTTTCACACTTCCCTGGCTTTTGCAGTAATTATCAACTAAGCCAGCTGCTTTGAAAAATATTTGCATTTCAGCTGTGCAATGTTCACTACGGGTGTGGTCACGGAAGACAAGCAGCTCTCTAAGAAAGTTCTGAAGCACAAAACCAAACCTGAGTCAACAAGGGAATGAAAACCAAGATTTTTAGGCTTGTCTCCTGTAAGCAACACAGGTAAGCGTGAGCAACACTGTGTAGGGTCTAACAAACAATTCAGCAACTGTGCACTCAAGTGATGGCCGTAAAAAGATGTTCTCAGAACAAGACAACCCTCCCTTTGAAAGATACTCGAAAAAGAGAAAGGAAAGCAATTCTGGGATTTCTGAGTTGCTGTACATTTCTAGTTTGCACTCTGAAGAGGGTGTGATACCAGAGCCCTTCCCAAAAATACTGTATAAGCACAGAGGTAGGGGCACTGTGGGATGCTTTCAAAAGAAGCAATATTATCCTCCACCCAGATAAAAATAATAATCAAGTCTCATTTGTGAAAAACGTTTAGCTTCTAATTAATTTCAATAATAAATAACAAATTCATGTCTGAAAGCATTACAGGACAGCAGCCAATCAACAAGACTATGCCAAAACAGCTTTAAATTACTCAAAAAGTAACACTGAACTGCGACATACAAACTTGTTTCTTTCCTCACTTAATTTTCAGTCCTCCTCTATCAAACTCTGCAAATTATTCATAAATCTCAATTTATGCCTAATCGCGCCACTGAACCTCAAGCAAATGCACACCCTCACATCCTACAGCTAATTGAGCCTTTGTGAATCCGCGGGGGGCTTTGAACACCACCACCAACCAGAACACGGGAGGCGGCACAGCGAGAGGGAGGACGCTGCACCCCCAGCACGATAACGTGCTCCCCAAATCCTGCAGCACCACAAGCTCATCTCCAGCAATGCAGGGATGCCCTCTGCCGGGAGAACCCACCGCACAAGCAAGATGACAAACCTCCAGCTTAAAACATTCCCCCCTTAGCCGAGCCCAGTGCTGGTCCCTGCCTGCGGGGCTCTTCGCCGCTTGTCCCATCGCCTCAAGCTCCGGCTGCTGCTGGCTCGTAAACATCTCCGCTCAACGCTACTGCCATCTCTGCCTTGGGTTTGGAGCTGGAAATACAGCAGAGAGACTGGCTGAATCCCACAACCTCAGACTGATGCATTTAGAATCACGGAATGGTTTTGGTTGGAGGGGATCTTTAAGGATCCAACCCCCCTGCCGTGAGCAGGGACACCTTCCACCAGACCAGGTTGCTCAAAGCTTCCTTGAACACTTCCAGTGAGGGAGCATCCACTATTTCTCTGGGCACCCTGTTCAAGAGTCCCACTACCCTTACTGTAAAAATTTTATTCCTTATGTCCAATCTAAATTTACCTTCTTTCAGTTTAAAACCCTTGCCCTGCCACCAAAGGCCCTGGTAAAAACTCTCTCACTGTCTCTCTTTCAGGCCCCCTTTAAGTACCGGTCTTGAGGTCTCCACAGAGACTTCTCTTCTCCAGGCTAAACAACCCCAACTCTCTCAGCCTTTCCTTCCTCTGATCATTTTCATGACCCTCCTCTGGACTCCCCCAACAGGTCCAGGACCCGGCTATGGGTGCCACAGCACAGAGGCAACGCAGGGGCCTCGCAAAGCACCCGCCAGGTCTCACCGAGTGTGTTTCTCAGGTCAAGCCCCACACGTCACACAGAACGTTCTCACACCTTTCCCACCAGGAAGCACTGCTCTGCCGTGACAGTTCTGGACCCTTTCAATTTGACGCCCTCTGACAATTTTCCAGGAGAAAGGCACATCAGCATGTAAAAAAATTAAGTCTTGCATTTCCTCATTAGCACTCATAATCCGTTGAAAACAGTCCTATGGCCCAAAATGTGAGGATAAAAAAATAAATGCTGCTCTAAACCCTATTTCATCAATCCTATTAAGTAAACAAAGCACCATTCGATTAATATTCAAATATTTTTCCTTCTGCAGCCTGCAACTCCTCTAGGTCTTGATTCTGCGATTATCCTCTCCCCTTCCGTGCCTCTAATTGAACTCTGTGAGTAATGTAGAGGCTAAACCCCCACCACCTGTAAGTCAGCCTGAGAGCACGCACTTCAAGGAGTTCTCTCAAGTCATAATATCAAAGGCTCAGTCTATTTCACTTCAAGAGAGTTAATCATGCAAATACAGCAAAGCATGTGCATATTTGCCAGGTCAAGATCCTATTTGCCTGTAACAATTAACATCCAACACAGAGCTTAAAGACAAACAGGGATGGGTTATTTTTTGCACCAGGAATAAGTAAGTTGAATATGATCAAATATAGCTAGAAGGTTAAGAAAAACCACCAGGAAGTTCAAAGCGAAAGCCTGAAGTTTGCTGCTAATCCCTCCAATCTCATGCATGTGTCTTGCCCCCTTCTTCCTGAGAACCTCGTGCATGAAGGCACACACCCCAGAATGGCTGTAGGATACGAGCCTGGGACTTTCAGACGTGCACAGGAGAATGTGATCCCACTCAGTATTAATGGAATTTAATGCTTCCTTTAATGCTCCTTTTAATGCCCCATTTCTGACGTCAAACCAGTCTTCATACGCTTTTTATCTACTGCAAGGATTTCAGCGAACTGGAGGTCTCAGAGCCCGCTCCAGCCCTCTGGCCAGCCAACGCACGCCAGCGTGGAGCGTTCTCATTTGTGCAGTATTTTGTGACAAACGTATGGCTACTGCGACTTTTCTTTTTACAAAGCCCCCTTCTTAATGCTGTCTGAAAATAGGGGGATACAGCAGCATTGCCCTTTAAAATAAGCACTAGCTTTGGATGCAGGAATGAAAAGCACCCTCTCTCGCAGATAGCACAGCCAAGCTTTCTCTCGCACGCTCTCAAGTGAAGCCAGACCTGAATTCCTGTTGCTTGGTGACCTCACGGGTGTGCATTACGGTAGATTTTAATTACACGACCACATGCTGCTCTCCCCATCTGCTTTGCCCAGCAGAAGAGCAAGCACTCTATTTCTTTTTCATCAATGTGAATTCTTAACGGCTTCTGAAGCTACTGCTGCACTGAGCAGGGATTTTTATTCCCCCCCCCAAGGTTACAACATGAGGGAATTTATCTTCACAGCACACCTGTACGGTCAACCCCAACACACAGATTTTGAGGCCCACAGAAAGAAGGCCAACATATACAGACAAGCAATATTGAAAATATAAATAAATACACACACCTGCACTTATACTCCCTCAGTTTACAAGAGGAAGACAGTTCAATAGTAAATTCCTCCCAAAAATGTGTTGCGCCTGTCAAACCTTAGTAGTTATTTGTTCAACTTTGGAAAAGAAAGAACTTGACTAGCAAATGCAACTTGTAAAAGTAGTTAAAGTGGGTGCAGATAAAAAGAGAAGGCACTATAGGCCGGATGAATTTTTACTAAGTCTGGGAAGAGAGAAGAGAATTGCTCAAAAAGGTAAGGTGTGGTCAGAAGAAATGCATTTAAGAAAAATAACCTTTTCTTCTTCTCACAGAAAATGGCAAAACTACAAGGAATAATTAAATATCACCTTTGCAGCAGTACCTTTGATGCAGTACTAAAGATAAAACCAATTTCACTCTTTCAATAGGGCAAGAGTATTCTGACCTTTGAAAGAAATGCAGCTGACTTGTCCTTCAATTACCAAATATAACCCCAAGGTCAAGCAGTTCTACAACCCATTTGTCCCATTTTCCAAATGGCATTTTCTTAAAAAAATAATCTTCCCGGTTTCTAAGAATTTAGATCCAAAAGTCATCACTGAAGCAAAATCCTTCTTTTAATGCTTCACAACTGTTTCACCCAGAAATGCTGATACTGATTTTGCATAGTCCCAGAAAAGTAACTCCTCAGGTAAGATCTGAAATCTCTTTTTGATGTTCTTCTGGTTTTGGTCATAGGCCAAGGGGTACAGAGAAACTATTTGAGCAATAAACTCAGTCATTTTCCCTGCCTGCAGTCGCTCACATTGTTACGCACAGAAAAGCAGTTTCATTGCTGCCACCTAGGGCACGAGAGTGCAGAGGGCAGTCACTTCAGCTGGAAAAGCAGCTAGAGAGGGAAGAGCAATTAAGCTGGTACTTCAGGGAGAGAAAGAGGGGAAGTAGGTGGAAGATGAAGGATCTCAAAACACAAATCTGGCTCCTGATGTAGTCAAAATTGGATTAACAAGTCCAGAGCCAATGAAAATCCTACCATGCCCACCCATCTTCTCTAACCTACCTGCCATCTCAGCATTGCGACACTGGCTTCTTCCTCCAGTCTCTCAAATTTTTTAATGTCAACGACAGCGAAACAAACGTTCCCTCTCCCATGCTGGGGAAGGCAGAACAGGCGCACAGCTGCTTCTTTTCCCTCCTTCAGCCGTCTCAACTCACTCCATCTTGTGATATAAATTTGAGGCACTGGATCTGCTGCCAATGTAACCTTTCTCCTCTGCTGTTCCCCAGTCACCTGCTCCTCTTACGCTTCCCCTGCAAATTCTCTGGGGAAGGGTCGTGGTTCTTGTTTGTGCTGGTAAAACACCCAGCAGAACAGGGCATGACACAGACACTACAGGTGCAACTCACCTCACCTGGCAGCCACAAGGTTTGGACTGGGATGGGAGCTTAGAAATCCGCAGCAGACACAGACATCACAAAGAGCAGATTATTCTGGCTGAGGACAGGCATCTCCTGCCACCTGAGACGCTTTGGGGCATCCAAAGGGGCTTGTGTGGGGCAGTTAAATATCACACAGGACCCACGGGAGATCCACAACCTTCTGAAGGCCAGGTGGGAAATCCCAGGGCACTTCCCATGGTACAGAAAGAGAGGTCTGTGCAACTCAGTTGAGCCTGGAGTTGAAACCCCCTGCCCCAGCTGTTTAAAATGTAGGATATTTTCCCTTTATGAGAGGCATTTCCAGAGGCTGAGCCACCTCATTCCCCCTTGATCATAAAAGCAGGGACAGCCTCCGATTAAGATATCTAACTTCCCAAGAGGTAAGTTGGTACAGCTGAATCCCTCTGTTCCTTTCAGTAACACATAGAGGGAAGACTCATGAATCGACGCAGAACATTCATCCTCCAAACTCCCAGCTCATGGTTTTAAATGACTCTCACACACCAAACTATGTAACATATCAGACTTAGTCAGCTGAAAAATAAATGTATCTGATGAGATGCATCAGACTACCAGTTTTCCTCTTCATGAGGAATAAAAAGTCAGGAGGTTTGACCAGGGAAGAAATCAGAAAGGTTCATTTCACTTGAGAAGAGCAACAAGCGCTGAAATTCCTCCTAGAGAGCATGAACATGGTAAAACACAACGTCAGCAAGCAGGGAGGGGGCACAGTAGAAAGTCTGTTTCTCTTCTTTATAGACAAGCTGATTTTATCTACTTTTTTCTAAGCGATAGAAAATGTTAGGTGACACTAGTCCAGTCCAACACTTCAGGTTTATTTGGGTTCTTTCTTGCAGAGAGCTGCATGGAAATATTGCACAACATAAGAAGGCACTATTGCAGAAAAAATACAAACATTCCCTTATCTGCCCAGGTCTGGCCACTCCCCTGTTCTAAACCTGACTTTAATGGGGCTGTGCAACTCAGGCTCAAGAAACAGGCGTAAATTTGTACTAAATAACAAACCCCCAAATAGGCATTTTCAGCCAGGAGCAGTTCCTCAGCTGATGTTGCAGAATAGCCACGTAACACAGGCACACAGAAGAAAACACTGCAGGAGTGAGAACAAGCAGTCAGGGACAAGAAGGGAGAACAGAACAGACTCTCATGCCAGCATTGCTGCTTTTACCATAAAGTTATATATAGCATAAAGAGTGCAATGAATGTATGAGATCTCCTCACTGTACACGTCCTCATAACACTGACAGATGGGGCTTTATCTGCAAATCAGACTGTGCAAATATCCATTTAGCAGCTATCATGTATTAAGTGTGAGTTATGCCACAGCTAATGGTCTACCACGTAACCACACACTCATATCACTCCAACGTTTCAGACAACGTCTGAAAAAAGTGGATGTTCACAGCATGCAAGAGGGTGCAGCCCCTTAAAGCCCCTTTATAGTCAATGGACAGAGAAATGCACCTCTTGGGAGTAGCTCAGCAGTGGATAAGCTAAAACAGACAAAATGAAATATATTCTATGATTCTATGATACCCTAAATGCACCTTTTTCCACCAACTCGATAGTGAGAGGTGCTCAAGTGGGCATGCACGTGCTATAAAACAGGTGAAATTAATTCCATGTGCTGTATTTTCAAACCTTTACTCGTCAGGTATCATGCAAAAGACAAACCAATTCAATTATGTTTTGTAAGGACACTTCCTTGTAAAACTCTCTTAGAGTATTAGAAAACACGTCAAGGTTCAAAGGCCAAGGCTATCCTACTGCAAGGTTAGTTCCTATTATTGCCCTCCACGATTCTCTCTCTGTTCAAGAAAACTCCTATATATTTATTTCATGTTTATGTATCAAGTCTCAGCACTGATATGTGTATCAGAGAAACTAATTCTGTAGCAGGACTTACAAAAAGCTTAATTGGTTTCTATTTGTTGATCCGCAATGCAAAATGCCTTAAAAGTAACACCAAACTGTTATTGTTGCTTTGAGCTCCTGGAATAAAAAGTTCAATTAATATATGTATAATACTTCTATTGCAGAAACGGTAAAGACTGTGTTGTCCTACCAAGGACCTTGACCCAGGGAGGCCACGGTGACAAAGTATGTGCTACATCAGGTCCAAAATAATCAAAGCTGATTAAAAAAGTGATCACTAAGACAGCACTGATTAAACATTTACCATGAATTGAACTACATCTTCAGGCTTGTGCTTTGCTGATTTGAAGGCAGCCAGTCGAGTGACGACGACAATGTGATACTCTACATGGCCAGACATCATCTTCCCACGTATCTCCTGGTATTCCGGCACAGACAAATCCAGCCCCGTGTGTGTATTCTGAATTTGCCTAGGGAAGAAAATATACGGCAGAGTTCAGGCACTAGCACAAAGATTTTTAACTGACCCCCTCTGAAGATCCAGCTCAAAACTCCAGGAAATCAGTGCAGACTCCCATTTCACCAGGACACCAGACAGATCCTACCCTAACACTGTCCCCACTCTGCAACAACACAAATTCGGATATGGCCTCCTTCCTATATTCTGTCCCAAAGTGGCTGCCACTGGCCACTTCAGACAATCTGCCTGGAAGACAGCATTTCTGGAAACAGAAGATGGGGATTCACTCAGAACAGGGCTTCACTCACAGGACTTGAAGGTGCTGTCCTACACAAAAGGACAAAGAATCAAGCAGACAAAGAATCACAACCCATGGCTCCTCTTGGAGGAAAACACAAGCAGGGAGCTGCTGCTCCAGTTTACTCAAAGCATTTTTTTCTTCTGCCCATTTCAGATCCACTGAATTGTGGTGTCACTCCGGCTTTCCACCCAAGGAATTATTTATGACGTTTTTGTAAGAGGAATGCCAGGATCACATATAGTTTTCACACATCAAGAGTAAGAGCGAGCAGCTGCTATAGCGGCACAAGATAATAGAATCACAGAATGACAGAATGTCAGGGG